ACGCCAGGCTAGCGTCCAACACTTCCCTGAGGTGGTCCGACATGTAGTCGAGGGCTCGGGCCATCACTCGGGCTGGAACCCCGTCCGGCCCGATCCTCCATACAGTCCTGACCTAAGCCCCTAACGATTTCTTGACATTTCCTAAAATTCGTGTTCTAAGGTTCCAGTCCGGTGAAGAAGCAATTGACGCTTTCAAGTCAGCCATTTCGAACACTTTAGAGTGGAATAAATGTTAGAATAATAACTGGTTTGAGCGAATGGAAAAGTGTATTAAGCTACGTGGTGGATACTTTGAAAAACAATAAAAAGTACTAAAAGGTTCTAGTTGTGTTTTTTTTCTTCAAACGACAAAACTTTGCGATTTTGTTCACAAACTCAGTCACTTGGATTGAGCACTTCATTATGTTAAGTAACAAGGATAAGTCCGCAATTTAGTGCCTTTCATGGGAAGCAAGTGAAATTTCTTACATCGACTGCTACAGTTAGGTAAGTAACAACTGGAACGAAATTGAATGTCCCTTTCAAATTTTCTCTGAATGCCTTCTAGACGATTTATGTAGACGTCATAGCGAGGATTCCACACTTGTAAAGCGTACTCGAGGTGACTACGAACCAAGGGGCAGTATAGAATTTTGATAGTTTTAAGACTTTTGAAGTCCGACGATATTCGACATACGAATCCCCAGCACTTTTGTAGCTTTTTTGACAACACAATCGATGTGGGGATGGAAGGTTAGCTTTGAGTCAAATACTACTCCTAAAACCTTAACCTGGGTGACTCTAGTTATAGGTGTATCTCTGAGAGAGTAGGTATAAAGGATTGGATTAGGTTTGCGAGAATAAGAGCCTACGTAACACTTAGATACTTTTAACTTAAGTCTATTCAAGTTACAGTCTACTTGAAACCTATCTAGGTCTTCCTGTAGTGAACGCACGCAATCATTAGTCTCTATTTGCCTCATTACTTTCATATCGTCCCCGTACAACAAGATTTTGGAGTGCAAAAAGCACGAGCCAATGTCATTCATAAAATATATGTTGTTGGTCATTGAGTAGCTGGTGTTTATCTATGTACCGGAGGAGCTGGCAGTTGACTAAGGATGTCATAATCTTATAGAGAGAAAAAGTAGTTATGGCTATATGCATGTACTTGTACAGGACGACTGCTCTTGCCGCTGGTTGGTATCTTGTCGAGCGCTGTTGCACCCCCCCCCCCCATGGCTCTCCCACGTTAAGGTTTTGGCCTACTACACCGCGCTGGCCAGACGGGTTGGTGTAGGGTTTGTTTTAAGATTTCCTTCTTTTTTCAGTGCTGTTTCCCTGCACAATTTGTTTCCTTAGTCGGAACTTACGACACCCACGGGCTGAATAGGGGTAGTGACACTTCGTATTCTTAATCATACAGAATAGACCCATTTCCCTTCTAAGCCTCGTCTACAAGCTTTTTTCAAGAGTCTTCACGAACCGACTTGCACGAAGACTCGACGAATACCAAACATTGTGTAGGACGCTCACAGGCCAAGTGGAGTGACGATTTGCGCAAGATGGCTAGCAGGAGCTGAACGCAAGAAGCCGAAAATCGATTTAAGTAGCGTGGAATGGGAGACGCCTATGACCAGCAGTGGACTGGCGATAGGCTGATTAACATGATGATGATGGAGATTAAGTTGTGTTTAAGTACATATTAAGTTATAAATTATGAATAATAAAAAAATAAATTGAAACCCTATGCTAAGTAAAATTAATATTTTCAACTTTTACGTTTAACTTGTGATGTGATGTTCCGATGTGTACGTTATATAAAAGTTGGGGTCCGACACGGCTTGCATGGCATGGCTTCACTATATATACTCGTAAATTTACATAAATAAATATGGTAAGTAAAAATGTATGTGGATTTCTCTGTGCTATGAGAGCACGGTAAGTACACGAGTTACACGTTTTGGACCCCAAAAGGTGCAAATACGGGTTCCGGTGCGGTAGAGATTTATAGAATTCCGATAGGCTGTTATTGGGGCGGTAAGACCTGTAATCAAGGATTAGTTCGAGAAGCAACACGGGACCCTTTCATGCCAGCTAATGACGGGGAATCGGGGATCACCTGTATATGATCTGCAACGAGCCAACGCCTGAGTGCCACCACTGCGATAACCAGACCGTAGACATGGCGCTCCACACGCTGGCAGAATGCCCGGCGTGGGTGGAACTTAGGCGTGACCTAGTCACGGCAATAAGAGTGGGAATTCTCTGGCTCGGTACCATGATTGCGGCCATAGGACGGAGTGAGAGCGCGTTGAACTCTCTTTCTGCGAGCAAGTTATGCTTGCGAAGGATATGGCGAAGCAGGACCGAGAGAAGATTAGAACTCTCCCGGTCCACCAGGCACGGGAACAGGTCAGGTACCGCAGACGACTCAGGCGCAGGAGGTCGCTGAATGACCTCTGTCCTCCATAAGCACAGCCCCGGGGGTAACATGTGAGGCCATCTATCAGCAGAAGCTGGCAGGGGTGGCAGTGCGACACGCTGGGAGCGTAGTAGCGTAGAGCGTCCCTACACAGTAGGTGCTCATCTAAAAGCCGTTGATGGCTCGGGGATCAATGATGGTCGGTGTACAAGGGATTTCCTTTCTAGGTTACACCTGGTTACTCGGCTACTGGTACCCTAGACGGCGTGCGGTTTTTAGTCGGTTCGTGTCTAACATAACCAACCCAATGTCCGTTTGGATTGAGGAGCCACTCTTCAAATCGTAATGAAATTAATATATTATTTAGTAGTCATTTAAAAAAAATTGTAGCTGCGATCCTCGATTTTGTAGTATAATACCTTTCAAGTTATATGAACATAAAGGTGGCTCCTCAATCTAAATGTTTGGATTGAGGAGCCACGTCAGAACTAGGAGCATAGCGGATGTATATTTATGATAATTTAGTATGATTTTGTAGTATTTGACATTAGTTAGTAGACAAAATCTGAGCTCGGTAATGTTAAAATTAAAAAAATTACCATTCATTATATATGTGGCTCATCTGACCATACATACGACTGTCATTTTTTAAAAGAAGCATGTTTGGGTTCTCCCGCGACCCCAAACTGTCCGCGATAGCGCGGAGCTGTACAAGAGAAGAATTTAGCCACTTACCAGTGAGGCTGATCCGTCTTCTGTTGTGAACCCTGTGATGTGTAAATGTGCCCTATCTAAATGTGTTGTATATAAATATATTGATAAACGTTACGTTACCAGTGTAGTCCCAACCCGTATTTCCGTAACCAGCATCCGGTGCTCCACTGGTCACGGCCGTCTTCTCTAGTCCAGTCCAACTAGCCAATAACCGTAACACAAAATAATACACCACTGCGACAATACGCGCATTCGAACAGAACAAATTATATCTTAATTTTGGTTTATGACACCGCGTGCATATCCGACCGATTTCAAAACTTTTGTGTTAAGCGGTACGTCGCGCGAACCTATTGTAAATCAACTACCCGCTTTTTTAATATCCTACTTTTCTAAACATACCCCCGCTCCGGACAGAGGGATCTCAGTCCGCTAATCAACGGGCAAACAAGAGAGTGACGCCACCGCGCGTCGCAAAACGGAGTCCCCGACGTTAACCTCCGCATACCGTGGTATACCGTCTGCTCCCGGAAACAGTTTAAGAATTCGCCCACGACGCCATTTCACATAAGGGTCCTTGATGAGAACCAGATCTCCCACCAGTGCGGGAGACGTCTTATCCGCCCTTTTGATACGCTGCTGCAAGATATTCAAATATTCCAACGAAAACCGACGGTTAAAATCCTGGGCCATCTGTTGGAGCATTTGAAACCGTGACAACCGATTCCGAGGGACAGCGTCATAAGGATATTCCGGTAAAGCCGTTAGTGGTTACCCAACGAGGAAATGACCCGGCGTCAAGACCTCCAAGTCATTAGGATCCGTCGATAGCGGACATAATGGCCTCGAATTTAGAGTTGCCTCAACTCTACAGAGGACCGTGACAAGCTCCTCAAAAGTAAGAATTGTTTCCCCAATGACACGCCGCATATGAGTCTTAGCTGACTTAACTGTGGCCTCAAATATCCCTCCCCAATGAGGGCAAAGAGGGGGGTCAAACTTCCAGGTGACTCCCCGTTTGGCCAACGTTTGACCGATTTCCTTGTCCTTATCCGTAAGGAACTGCTGCACCTCCTGTAGGTATCGATTAGCACCTTGATAGTTGGTGCCACAATCCGACCGTATGAGGCTGGGTAATCCCCGCCGTGACACAAAGCGCTCAAGCGCTGCGATAAACGCCTCAGTAGTAAGTGCCGAAACCAACTCTAAATGAACCGCTTTAGTAGAGAGACAGACGAACACACATAAATAAGATTTATAGATTTTCGCATTCCGTAAGTGTGAGGCCTTGACCATGAATGGGCCTGCGAAGTCTGTACCTACACCTTCGAAGGGTCGAGTGGCCGACACTCGATCCGCCGGTAGATCACCCATAACCGGTTGCATTGTAGTTGCCCTCAGGCGGTAGCACGACATACACTTAAATATAATTGACCTGACGCACCGACGCGCAGACAAAATCCAAAATTCACGTTGTAAAATCGCGAGAAGGGCGTTACAACCTGCGTGTGAATTATTAATATGCCGATCCTGAACCAGAAGCCGAACCAAGTCACCATCTTTTGGTAACAGGAGAGGGTGACGTGCACCGTAAGGCAACTGAGAGTTTCGTAATCGTCCGCCAACTCGAAGTAAACCCGATTGATCAATGAAGGGATTCAGCCGTGAAATAGCTCCCTTCAATCGACCTAAGGACCCGATCGTCCTAATCTCGCTAGCAAATCGTGCTGCTTGAACTCGTCTCACCCAAAACATGAGGGAGACCCGACGTTCATCTGCCGATAGGCTAGGCGAAGTGTCTCTTACATCCACCTTGCGACAATTCCGGATGAATCGATGAATCCAGCCCGTGACTCCCAGAAGTTTATTGAGAGTGCTGTACCTAGCTAGAAGAGGATCTGAAGGCGTGGCCTCTGTTTCGACTGCCGCAATCCTAATGTCAGGCAGAGATTCAGTACCATGTAAAGTCGTAGGAGGCCACGTCGACACCGGATCCGCCAGCCACTTTGGACCCCACCAGAGGGGATGGTCTACCAAAGTGGGGGCATCACAACCCCGTGAAGCCACATCCGCCGGATTGAGTTCACCTGGAACGTGTCTCCAGATCAACTTCACCTCCGAAGCCTGGATCTGAGACACTCGATTGGCGACAAAGACTTCCAACCTGTGAGGAGAAGCCTGAAGCCAAGCCAAGACGATTTGGCTATCCGACCAAGCGTAAACCTCCGATAGTTCTATCAATTTGCCTAACGTAGAGATAACGTGATTCAGTAACCTAGTGAGTAAGGCAGCTCCCGAAAGTTCCAACTTAGGGATACTCAACCTAGTCCGTAGAGGAGCAACCTTACTCTTAGCCGTCACTAAGTGAACCGCCGTTGTACCATCCCGCTTTACGGTACGTAAATACACCACCGCGGCGTATCCTGACACCGAAGCATCGCAGAACCCGTGGAGCGATGCTTTGTACTTCCCTGATGGAAGAAAATGGCGTGGTATCGAGACCTGAGTAATGGACTCCAACCGATTCAGAAATCCCAGCCAATCGGTAAGGAGGTCCCCAGTAATAGGCTCATCCCAAGAGATCTCAGCGATCCACAATCGCTGTAAAAAGTACTTGGCCCAAAATATCACTGGCGCGATCCAACCGTTGGGATCGAAAATTGTGGTCACCGTAGAGAGTACCGAACGCTTAGTCCAGAGTTTCGCCATTACTGCCGTATGAAACCTAAATGAAAAGGTATCCGAAACCGGTTGATACTGCACCCCTCAGACGGAAGTACAGTGAGGACTACCCGAGTCCTCAAAAAGGAGTGGATCCTGCCTGTGATCTGCCGGAAGATCAGCCAATAAGCGTGGGCAGTTGGAGACCCATTTTCGTAACTCATAGCCAGCCGTGGCAAGAATTCCGATGAGCTCATCTCGAAGCAGTAGCGCCTCGTGCTCAGACGATGCCCCAGTGCATATGTCGTCTACATATAGATCTGTTTCCAAGATGGCTGCCGCTCTTGGAAATGTCGCTCGTTCCCGATGAGCCAACTCCATTAGGCTCCGAATGGCCATCCAAGGGCTAGACTTTAATCCGTAAGTATTTGTAGCCAGTTCGTAGACTAAAAGTGGCTGCGACGGATCTTCCCTCCAAAGAATCAATTGGTAGCGCCTATCATCCGGATGTATGATAGTTTGCCTAAACATCATACGAATATCTGTGGCAAAGACCACGACATGCCTACGGAAAGCCGTAATAAGATCCGAGATATTCCTTTGGAGCTTAGCACCTGAGTGTAGACATTGATTAAGAGAGACGCCGCTGGATGACGGAGCCGATCCGTCAAATACAACACGTATCTTCCCACTATCAGCCTTAAAAACAGCGTGGTGAGGAATAAAGTAATGTTCCACCGAGGAGTAATCCGTACGCGAGGGGAGCATATGTCCAAACTCCTTATATTCGCGCATGAATTGAACGTATTTTTCCCTAAATACAGAATCCCGTTTCATGCGGCGCTCCATCGACAACATGCGTTTCTCCGCTAAGCCAAACGATTGACCGAGAGGTGGGTGTGAAGAGAGAAATGGCAACCGTGCCATAAACCGCCCTGACGGTAAACGCACCAGAGTCCGTCTATAGTGACTCTCGCACTCCAAGTCTAGTGGGTCCGTGTGAGGGACCGAAGGAACCTCCTCCACTTTCCAAAACCTTTGTACAACCTCGGCCAGAGAAACGCCCGTAAATACCGTTTGATTATTACTCTGAATAAAAGGAAATGCTGGGCCCATAACTAAGTAACCGAAAACCGATGGGAAGGCAATCAGTCCATCCCGATGCAAAGCGATAACCGAACCCGAACATAACACCTGTCCTGCGACATCAGAACCGAGAAGCAGATCAACTAAACTCGGTTTCCAAAACTCGGGATCCGCAAGAGGCAGACCCGAGGCGGAGTTACCAACCTCCGCAGGAAGGAATACCAGTGGATGATTGCCAAGTACCTGGTCCATAACAAGAGCTGTAACCGAAATAGTGGGGGATGAACCCGATTCCCCAGTAACCACAAAACTAACCTGGCCATAAATTGATGTGACCCGATCACCACCAATTCCCCTTATGAAATTAAAGTCTCGTGAGATCGATAGGCCTAACGTCCTCACCAGTCCAATAGTAATGATGCAGCCTTGAGCCCCAGTGTCCAGAAAGGCCCGCGCCTTAACTGTGGCTCCACCAGAGCCTCTTACCTAAAGTGACACTGTGGGGAGAATAACCGTTTTTGAAAAGGCTGCACCTGGTGAGGAGACCGCAAATACCTATAATGCCTGAGAGGAACCGGTCCGAGCCGGAACTGAGGGGAGCCCCTGGTGATGTGGCCCCCACATCCACAAAGGAGCCTGAGGGGCCAACCCATGATGCCTTGCCGACACTTGATAATTACCTTGCTCAATCAAAGGGGCGCGCGACTGTATCAGCGGCTGTTCCGAACTTATTTGTGCTGCCCGAGCAGCGTAAGTTGCAGCTGAAATGTGGGACTCCACTTGATTCTCCAATGGTTGCACATCAGCCCGGTGCTGGTAACCGATTTCTATATTTGCTCTTGACGAACCATAATAATCTCGATGAGAGGAGGAGGGGGGACCCCCGCCCCTGCGAGCATCCCGATGCTCATTTTGGGTACCTGAGCCCCCGCGAGAATCCCTGTGGTTCTCGGGGGTATACCCGGCGAACTGATCCTGAGGGGCACCATCACCCCTTGGTGCATCCTGATGCAACGGGGAGCGCCGACCTGATCGGCGATTCTTCTCCAGGGTGCGTCGACCTGACCGACGACCATTGGAGTTTCCACCACTACCACTCCCGAATCGGCAAAGTATAGTGTGATGTGGCCCATTACACTGGGCATACGTTTTGAAGGCTTCGCAATCCGTGGCTAGATGTCTACCCAAACACACCCAGCAGTGACCTGTACGCCATACAAACTGGCGACGAACCCCAACGTTAGCTCGTCTGAAGTCCTCACAATTCAGGAGCGGGTGAGCCGCTCGGTCACAAAAGTAGCAGGGAGACAGCGCCTGGCTCGCTGCCATCGCAAATCCCTTAGGCGGAGCCCGAGGTCGCAATGATATCTGACCAGCCCCTCCCTTTCGGGGGTGGTCCATATATCTGTCCGATCTACTCAAGTGGGGGGCATCCGGCCCTTCCACATTGTCCACCATCCTAGACTCCTCTTAGTAGGTCCGTAAAGAGGGGCACTTCCGTTGGTAACTTCCCTCTGAACTGGTGTTCAAACCTGAGCTTCAGCTCAGCCGGCAGCTTACCGACCGTTATGTGAAGCAGTAAAAATGACCATTCCTTTACCGGGAACCCGAGCTTCCCTAACGCATTATATGCTACTGTAAGTGGGTTCAGTAGCTGAGCCCGAAGGTCGGTGACCCGGGTCACGTTTGGTAAGCCTAGTATACCGCTTACGTGAGCGTCACCTAATCGGCGCATATTTTGATACCGTTCCGTTAGCAGTGTTCGAGCCGTGTCGTAACTATCATTAGTGACGTCCAAATGTGCCACCAAATCATGAGCCTCCCCGGATAATGCTGTTCCCAGATAGCCCATTTTCTGAGCTGCGCTTAAGTCCGAGCGTGCATGCACCAAGCTATCAAATAAATGAATGAACCCCATCCACTGCTCATATCCTCCCGAAAAATGGGGAAGATTGAGAGACGGGAGCCGGGCGACCAATCCCGGTTGCGACGTGGGCCCCCCCGTCTGGGCCTACACGTCTGGGGGGGTGAAGCCTACACTAGTATAACATCAACAAAACCAAAAATAAAAATTTATAATAAATGGCAATCTATGCGATTCTGTACCTATCAGCAAAAGTTCTGTTAATGTGAGTTAGAAAAATACATGTTGCTTTGATTCAGTCATGCATTTCTTAAGTATGGGATATATTCAAAGTAGAAGTTTTCAAGAAACATTGAACAGATACTCTGATGATTTAATTCCTCAATACATTAAACTTTTAGCAGATCCTGTTGCTAATGACTGTGATATATACAGAATGCGGTCCGAAATCGGTGTGCTGTATTTTGAAACAAAAGAAAGCCTCCGTGAATTTGCTTGTAATGTGTCCTTAATTTTTGAACACATAGCTTTAAAATATTGTTTTAGTGCAATTTTTAGTAAAAAGTGTACTAATAATTCATGTCAATTTAGCCCAATATCTAGACAGATCGCATTTTTACCTTTAAACCTGAATAAAATTTCTGTTTTCGGGATCTAAAGTTGATCCCGAATTGTAGAAGATGCAATTTGTATTGCAGAAGAAAAAAATGTTTGTACATTTTGTGACCTCCAAACAGTGTACAAATATACGTTATCAAATACAATTTCATTTGAAATAACTCTTTGTACGAAGTTTCGAGTAAGCGAGATACCAGAATCTATAATGATTTCAGGTAGATCATACATATTAATAGGTGTTACAGAATATATCCCTGCAATTAGCGACGCTGGCATGGGACACTATAAGTGTCACTACCCAACGAAGAATGAGATGTTTTGCTATGACGAGTATGATTCTGACTGTAAATTTCGTCAAAGCACGGAACAACCAATATTAATTCATTGTATCACATATGTCCAACCTGATTTCGATGTTGTCAATTTGTTAAAAATCAAATTTTAAAAACTTGTCCTCCTGATTTCATTTAACATGGTCACCCTAAATGGCGAATTTATAAGGAATATCAAAAAGTAATTTATTTTTCAGATACCGAATATATACAACGTTGATCTGTACATATTTATTTAGTAGACATTTATACTAAATGTTAGTGTCTTTAGTTTTTATTTCTGTTATGATATCAGGTAGGTACAATCCATTATTTATTATGCAGAACGTCAGGATTGAGGAGCCAAATAAAATGCGTTTATTTACAAAATTCACTCAGTTTTACTAATTTCTCCTGTTACTACAAATTCAAACCCACTTGCTACTAAATGTTTTTGGAATAGAATATAAATTTTGACTTTTTACTTTCATGGCAATTCACACTCATAAATATAGATTGAGGAGCCACATTAAAAGTGTTGTATATTCTTGAATATAAATAGTATTGGATTCAGATTTTTTGTAGGCACTATACACAATTACTACTAAATGATACAAAGTTTTCAAAAATATTCATTAAATACTTTCCGTGTTCCAGGTGGCTCCTCAATTCAAATGTTTAGATTCAGGAGCCACTTTTACATTGACGTAACTTTGGATATATCTTACTACAAATTTCAGGATCTGTCCTACAAAATTATTTTCTCACCTACTAAATGAGGGGGCAGTTTCCGTTTAAAATTCGTTTAAATTCTAAAATGGCTCCTCAATCCATACGTACACACCAACCCACCCGTGACATCCGAGGGAATTTCCGCACAAAAAAGAAGAGAAAAAGGGTTTTATAGAATTGATAAAACACATACTTTTCAGTTATTTATTGTACGAATTCTTAAATCATTAACATTAATCTATCGATAAAATGGCAGTGTTTTCAAAGCATGTTTACTATACTCATAAGGTTTTTTGTCACTTGTTTTCTTTTTTTTGACAAATCTATGTTTTCTAATCGCACATACATGCTGTACTTTTCTTTATTGGATTAAGGATGTTAAAGTGATAGTTATAACATTTAGATATATAAAGTATGAAGACAGATTTTATGTTTAAAACTCTAACATTTTTATTTCATATAATTATATTCATTTAATAGTATATACAATTAGGCAAGTCTAAATTATCACAAATGTGGTGTACTTAGCTGAATGATCCCAGGTTTAGATGTGACTAGTGAACTTTTATAATCCACACTAGTAATGACTTCAAGTACACAGATATTTTGACACGATAGGTACTTTTTGTGGACATAAATATGTGTATTGTACGTTATTTATATTTAAGTAATTACAAAAATATGAAATTTAAGTAACATTGCAATAAAATAGTGCGAAAAAATATTATTATAAAAGTAGTTAAATACAAACCTTATATTTAAATTACTTTGGTTTACATTGATGACCAGAAACTTAAGTATTTCGTTGTTGTATTTGACTTTTACAAAATGATAAATTAGAAAGCACCTACGCTATTTTTCGCCCCTTCGTTACTTACTTTAAATTATATTTTCAATGAATTGAATGTCACGTATTATCATATCTTCTGAATAATTAATAATTACAAACAAAACCTGAGCTTAACATAGTTATATTACACTATTTGGTGTTCTTCATGCAAACTGCGCATCGAGCTACACGTTCGACTAGATTTCCGGATTTTAGAGTTTGTCGTTTCGGCATAGCAAACTGATCTTCATCATTTATTGTAGTCAACCAAAAACTGAGTTTGTTAGCAAACTTGTTGCATGTTCCTCCCTCACCGTTACATTCTATGAACGGTACTGTGCGGAAGCTTTCTAGACATGATCCAGGACTTTCTAAAGCTTGGCCTCCACCTTGACCACCGGCACCAGTGTGCTGTAAATAAAATATAATAATTAAGGCTACGAGGAATTCGAACGGATTTTGGACCACTTAATAGTTTGTTATGTGTAAGTTACATATACCTATATTATACCTTAAGGCCTTGTAATAAGAAAATACAGATATTTAATTATTTGATTTAATGCCTAGGGTATCTCTTAATATCTCTTAAAGCCAATAGTCAAAATAGCTTCAGCCCTTAAAATAACTAGTATGAATTTTAAAATTGAGTTTATTTTTTAGTAATAAAAACATTATACACAGGAATGATACACAAACGCACACGTGCTAAGTTATTTATAGTGTTTTTGACTATAACTTTTCTATTTATAAAATGTATTTATTTACAATTGAGAACGGAATTGAAAACAAATGCACTTTTGAAGATGTAAAAAAATAGTGAAACATTTTTAGAATTAGTTTATAGTGGTATTGTACATTTTGTCGTGTATTATATCACCTATTTTTCACCAAAAATATAAACAATTACTCACCATTACAAAACTGTATCCTATCCAAAGTTCGATCCATCCTCCAGGACATTCAGGTACGGTGTTGGATTGACTATGCACTGCTATAACATTTGCCGGCGCTTCACAGACCACACATCTTGATATGTACTTCACGATATCTCTTCCTTCTACAGGCATCATTGGTGTTTCTTCATTTGTTGACAGCCAGTAACTTCGATCGTTTCGACTGGCATAATTACACACTTCGTTGATGTCACAGAAAAGGAAAGGCATTGTACTGAACTTCCTTACGCATGAACCAGCATGTCCCAAATCTTGATTATGGGCCTTTTCATTGCCATCTATATACAGAAGGGAATAACCCTCCCATAACGGAGCGAGACCATGTGGACATTCGAGAACATAATCTCCCTGGCTATGTCGCACAACAAGGATGCCTGTTAGATAATCTGTTTCTACACATGGTGCTCCAGGGACCCCAGGTGGACCTGTTCTTCCAACTAAACCAGTTTCACCCCTTTCACCTTGCTGTCCTTGAAGTCCCATTGACCCTCTTGGTCCCTGTGGCCCTACTGGTCCAGGCAAACCGCGTTCTCCCTTTATACCGGGTAATCCTTCCATACCTGGTAGGCCTGGATTCCCATCGTGTCCTGCAGGTCCTGTTGGACCCGGGGGTCCAGTAAATCCACGTTCTCCTTTTTCACCATATATAAAGCGTCCAGCTTCACCTTTATCACCTTGCATACCAATCATACCCGGTTCACCAGGTCTACCCTGGGGACCTCGTTCACCCTTTTCACCTTGGGAACCCATAGGACCAGGCTGCCCATTGTAACCATCTGTTCCTCGATCACCTTTTTCTCCCCTCAATCCCATAAGTCCTGGTGTACCTGGAGGACCTGTGTTTCCTTTTTGTCCAGGGAAGCCGTACCCCGTTGCACCTTTATCTCCTCTGTCACCTTTATCACCCCTGACACCAGGAAGACCTTGCGCTCCGGGAAAACCATCATTACCTGGCACACCAGCCGCACCTTCAAGGCCTTGGTCACCTTTTTCTCCTCTAGGTCCAACGGGACCCGGAAGACCGGGTTCACCAACTTTACCTGGAAGACCGGTAAGGCCTTGATCTCCTTTTTCTCCAGGAGCACCTTGTTTTCCTGGTCGACCGTGTTTACCTGGTAGACCTGGCAATCCTTTTTCACCCACCATTACCAAGCCAGGTAAACCTGTAGGACCAGCTGGGCCTCGATCACCTGAAAATACATAATTATTTAAACCATATCATTTTATATGCATACGGAAACTTCAATTGCAGTTATATATTTTTAAATTAACTTCGATTAAATTACCTTTTTCACCAGCAACTCCAATTAATCCTTCATTTCCTTTCAGTCCTGTTAAACCGATATCACCTTTGTCACCTTGTAAGCCCATTGCTCCTGGCAGACCTCTTTCACCTTTTTCTCCCTTCCTGCCTTCTAATCCTGTTAAACCGATATCACCCTTTGCTCCCTTTTCACTAATGCCTGTGCCAGGAAGTCCTCTATCTCCCTTTTGTCCTGAAAAGCCTGGTAAACCTTGTGGTCCTTGAGGACCTTCAGGCCCTGGTACTCCAGGCAAACCTCGCAAACCGTTAAGTCCTGGATAACCTGCATCACCTTTATCCCCTTTGGCCCCATTAAAACCTGGTTGTCCTCGTTGTCCAGGTTCTCCAGGGAATCCATTCATTCCTGGCTCTCCAGGCTGTCCACGTTCACCTGCCAAACCCATAGATCCCTTGTTTCCTTTCAGTCCTGTAATTCCTTGATCACCTTTATCACCGCGTAGTCCTGAAACTCCATCTATACCAGATATACCAGCTTCACCTTTAGCTCCAGGAGTTCCAGGAATTCCAATTCCTGGTATACCAGGTGCCCCAATATTACCTTTTTCGCCCATTTCACCTGGCATACCGTCTCTTCCTGGCTGTCCAGGTATTCCAGCTTCACCCTTTTGACCTTTGTCGGATGCTAAGCCCGGTTCTCCTTTAGGACCTATTAAACCTGGGAAACCTTGGTCGCCCTTATCTCCACTAGGGCCCATAATTCCTGGTGCTCCAGGTTTTCCAGGATATCCTTGATTTCCTTTAAGACCGGGTTGACCTTGTAGACCTATAGGACCGTCTTTACCAGGGGCTCCTGGTGACCCAGGATAACCAAGACTTCCCTTATCACCTTTCTCGCCGGTGGCACCTGGAATACCAGCTTCCCCTCTAAAACCAGGACGTCCACGCTGTCCAGGGAATCCTCTTTGTCCCGGAGCTCCTTGCATTCCTGGTTCACCCTTTGCACCTGGTAATCCTATTACTCCTGGTTTTCCTACAAGTCCTGGGTACCCTTGTTGACCCTTAAGTCCATCTCGTCCAGGTACGCCCGGAGTACCAGGACTGCCGACAGGTCCAATTGGACCAGTGTCACCTTTCTGACCTTGAGCTCCAGGTATGCCTGGCCGCCCTATAGGACCCTGGTCTCCCTTTTCACCATTTAATCCAACAGGACCAGGAAAACCTTCAGCACCAGGTGTACCAGGAGTGCCTCTATTACCTTTGTCACCCTTTTCACCCGTAAGTCCACTAGGACCAGGTGGTCCTGGCATAGACAAACCAATTTCACCTTTATCACCCTTAAGTCCAGGTGTGCCTGGCATACCTCTGACACCTGCTTCTCCCGGTGTGCCCGGGAAACCGCTTACTCCCATATCACCTTTGTCTCCTCTAGCTCCAGTAAGACCTCTTGGACCTACTCGTCCAGGCTGACCAGGCAAACCTGTTTTTCCTTTTTCACCTGGGCGGCCCGAAACACCTAGATCACCCTTATCTCCTTTTTCACCTGTAAAAAGTAAAGTGAGAATAATCTAAACCACATCCTAATGGTAATATTTTACAACAGGTACGCAATAAACAGTATTCGTACTTCAGTTTTCATAAAAAAATAGTAGCTTTTATCTGCCCTGAGTACGTGTTTTATGTGGCTCTGCTAGGGAGTATGAGCAGGGGGTGCTAGGCTAGGAAAACTCTACGTGGTGCATCCTGGAAACGTTGGCGGTGGCACTGTTTCTTCCTCCGCTATTTGGGGGAGAGCATCACCGCCAACGGCTAATATTCTAGCAAGAAGAAGAGGAGGCCATTCTTCTTCGGTCGGGGCTTGGTCCGACAGAGCGGGCGTGTCTGCAGATTCCTCTGTTGGCTCTTCGCTCTTCGGAGTAATGAGGAGGGAAACCTCGGTAAAAAACCGCGAAGGCGAGACCCTTTCGTGGGTTGGAGTTTCTCCACTGTCAGCGGTGGAGAAACGGGGACGGGCTCGGCGAGTACTCACACTGCCACCGAGCAGGCATACGGATTTTTCTTGATGTCGCCGTCGACATATCGTAATCCCGAAAGGAGTGTCGTGGTTATGTCACGCGACTCTGGTCGGGCGCTAGTGTCTTGGCTTAGCCGCCCGGACTGCGAGGAAGATACCCTCTATAAAAAATTACCCCGAATCCCGTTACCCCGTGGCCAGGGGATGCATGGCTGATGGTAGTTCAGTCGCAAGCGCAATCCCAGCCGAGGCACCTGCGGACCCCTCGATTGGGCACAAATTTACGCTTGCCCAGGTATTGGGGGATCTCTGCCCGGGTCTACTTTTATTTCTCCTCCACGCCATCGGTGGCAGTGAAAACTACAGGCGCCCAAGACCGCGGCTGTAGTGGTCACCATTTCCCCGGAGGTGGCTGACGGCGGGCTGTCCTATGCGGCCGTATTTAAAAAGGCCAGGGACAGCCTCGCATCTCAGGCCTGGACGACTTTGTAACGACGGAGGATGTCCTCGTTGCGGTGGATGCGAGGGAAGACGGGGTGCAACGCGGACAACATCAGGGTCGGCACCATCCGCCCCGGTCCAGGGGGCCTTGGTGCAGTGTTGGTCAGTTGTCTCATCGGTTTCGTGAACGCCAGAGTCACAGTTCTAGCGTCAAACCGATGAGGTGTTTCAAATGCCTGACCGAGGGACACACTCGCATCCAGTGCGATAGCTGTTTTGACTGCGGCGGACTGGGTTTCCGTTGCTCTGCCGCCCCTCACTGCCCAGCGTGTGCGGCGGGTAATAGGCCCGCCAATCACCAGATGGAACAGGGAGGCTGCCAACCCTCCCCTATCAGCAAACATCGGGGGCTAGCCAATCGACCCAGGCTGCCTCCGACGTGATTTGTGGATATGGAGGACGGAAGCATGGGGCGAGGCCGTAGAGAAGTGGGCGGCCTCGGTGGGCCTCTGTCGTCTAAACAGAGGCTCCACCAACACGTGCGTGCGACAATTGGGGGGGGGGGGGGGGGGTCTATAGCCTCACAAGGCCTTCAAGGAAGGTGGTTTACTGGTGGTCCCAGGAGTTGGCGGACCTCCGTGCGGCCTGTACTTGTGCCCGGAGGTCCTACACCAACAGTCGGCGCCGTCACCGTGAAGACGGTGAGGAGGACCGGTTTCATGATGAGTACCGAGAGGCACGGAAAGCTCTGAAGCTGGCCATTAGCCGCGCCAAAGAAGTTAAAAGAAAGGAGATGCTGGAGGGTCTCGATCGTGACCCCTGGGGTGGCTCATATCGCGCGCGCGTAAACAAAAGCTCCGCGCGTCGGGACCCCCTTTACGGTAACGCTCCAGCCTACATTATTGCATGAAGTGGTGGAGGGCCTATTCCCGCAACGGGCGGAACACACACCCCCGTCGATGGCCGTCTTGGCCGGAGACGACGGGGAGAACATGGATGATGTTCCATCCGTCCGGGATTCGGAGGTGGGGGCGGCTGTTCTACGGATCCGTTCCAAGAAAACCGCCCCTGGGCCGGACGGGATACCGGCCCGAGTGCTGGCCCTAGCCCTCCACCACATGGCAGACTGCCTCAGGGAGGCGTTCGACGCTAGCTTGGCGTCCGGACGTTTTCCTGAGTGCTGGTAGAGCGGGAAGTTGGTCCTACTGAGGAAGCCGGGATGGCCTGCTGATCAGTCGCAGCCTACAGGCCCATCGTATTGCTGGATGAGGCGGGTTAGTTGTTTGAGAGAATTCTCTCTGCCCACATCGTCCAGTATCTCTGTGAGGTGGGCCGGGGCCGGGTCTGTGGGTCGCCCAATTCAGTTTTCGGGCGGGGCGTTCGATGGTCGACGCTGTGTTGCGCCTCAGGATCGTGACCGAGGAGGCGGTGAGTTGTGGCGGCGTGCTGCTGGCGGTGTCGTTGGACATCGCCAACACATTCAACAGACTGCCATTCAGCTGCATCAGGGAAGCATTCCACTATCATGGGATACCAGAGTACCTGAGGCGGCTAGTGGCAGACTACTTAGAGGAGCGTACCGTCATGTACGAGGATCAAAATAGTGCTTTGAGGCGTTGGCTCATGTCGTGCGGTGTTCCGCAGGGGTCTGTTCTCGGACCACTTCTGTGGAACATGGGTTACGACTGGGCCCTTCGAGGTTGCCTCCCCCCGGGCTGGGTGTTATTTGTTACGCCGATGACACGCTGGTTACAGCCCGAGAGGGCGGACTTTCAAGAGGCGGCGCGCCTGGCCACCAGGGGAGTTTTTCTGGTGGTCGGGCGCATTGAGGCGCTGGGCTTACGGGTGGCCCTAGATAAAACGGAAGCCCTATTATTCCATGGGCCCCGTCGTGGGCCATTCCCCGGCGCCGGGGGTCTGGGTCTGATCCTCGACGGAAGGTGGCTCTTGGACGAGCACTTCCGACACCTTGCTCCAAAGCTGGTCGGCGCTGCGTTTGCCCTTGGGCGACTTTTACCTAATTTGGGTGGACCCAGCGTCGCAACGAGACGCCTGTACACTGGGGTTGTCCGGTCAATGGCACTGTATGGTGCACCCTTGTGGCCGGCGGCTCTGACCGGTATTGAGGATATTGGCGGTTAGAGCCATACGGGGTTACCGCACCGTTTTGACGGAGGCGGAAGTGCTCGCCGAAGTAAATCGGAGGACGGCTGAGTGCCGGGCGGATAGTGGCAGTCGGCTCTCGCCCGAAGAGATACGCGAGTGGCGTGAGGCCGCTCGTCGAGCCACGATGGCTCGTTGGTCGTCCCGGTTGGAGGCTCCACGTGCTGGCTTTGCCGCCGTGGAGGCGCTCCAGCTGGTCATCGTCGAGTGGGCAGGGCGGTAGCACGGGACCTTCCGGCTGACGCAGGTCCTTTTCGGGCACGGCTGCTTCGGGAGGTACCTGCACTCGGTCGCCAGGAGGGAATTAAGTCCCGCCTGTCACCACTGCGATTGCGGTGAGGAATCGGGTCAGCACACGCTGGCAATTTGCACTCGCTGCCGTCCGTCATACGCTCCAAGGCCGGTAGTGACAGATGTTTCACCGCGGTCGCATCAAGGAGGCGGCGGAGAGAGCCCGGGAGGACCACCTCCACTCGTTCCCCAATCCGTCGCCTTCAAACCGGGCGGCGGAGGCGCGCTTACCACCACCTCAAGCCGCCCTAAGCGAGGCCGCGGGTGGATCGGACAGGTTTTTCCCTCCACCCGCCATAACGGCCAGACGCGCGGAGGCGATGTCCGTGTGTGCCGGACGTCGCCTAAATGGAGAATGTACCAGAAGGTGGTGCCCGCGCCGTTGCGGGCGGGCGCTAGGAGGGGCCAGGATGTTCTAATAACAGCAGTTCCCGGATCCCTCCTATTACAGGCGCAGAGTGGCACACCGTGTGGTTTTAGTTGGTGGAATTTCGACACACCACCCCGCCGCAAACCCCGGTGGGGTGACGGCCCGAACAGTGACGGGGGTACGGTGTTGCACACGTAAAAAAGAAAAAAAAGGGAGTATGAGCAGAGCTATAATCGATACACATTATTTTGTTACCTAGTGTATGTACAGCGATAATGGGCCTAAGTACATTATGTACGTTTGACGTACATCATTTAACTCTTCTGCAGAGCAAGTCACACTACTTTCTATTTTATAAGTATACATTACAGTGTGCCAGGCTACAATAGCAAAAATTTTGTTTCGAATTGAGTTACACATACCCTCTATTGCTAGGGACCAATTGTCGACTTCATGACAAAAAAAAAATGTGCGGACTTTATTTTGGAATTTTAGAACTGCATTTAATATACTAATTTTTTTTTATTCAGAGTTAAAAGAGTTTATGGTATGGATCATATTTATATCAAATAAACCGCTTTATTAGTCATGGATTTTTATCGAATTCTATAAAATACTACTACTTCTATCAAATACTTAAGTACGCCTGTTATTTTATACTTTTAATATGCCTTTATTAAAAGTATAAAATAACATGCGTATTATGCGTTACGTTAATATGCCTCTAAGTTACTTAAAAGATTGCCTAAGTTATTGCTTGTTATCTTTATTACAGAACGCAGTTGTTCTGAAACACTTTCAACTTTTAATTGCTTACTAGTGTATTGCCAGCCCTATCACTTCTCCGATGCAACTCTACGAGAGAACCCAACTAGAAAAACAAAATAGAGGAACACTTCATAATAATAAGAATTTTAAATAACTTACCTATTTGAAAATGTTAAAAGTACATAACAAGTCAATAAGAAAGTAATGTCCATTATAAAAGTTAACGTACCTGGAAATCCTTGAGGTCCTGGAGCTCCGGGAGCGCCTCTATCGCCTCTTGTAAGCTTATCTAAATCCACTGGACACTTTCCAGGTTCACCTTTAATACCATATCGTCCTGGATATCCTTTTTCTCCCTTTTGTCCAAATAGTCCTGCTGCACCTTTTTCTCCCTTTACAGATATTCCATCCCTACCAGGCGTGCCAGGATTTCCATCTGATCCCGGTATACCATCTGTTCCAGGTTGTCCATTGAGACCATGATCTCCCTTTAATCCGGGCATGCCAACGGGTCCTGTCATGCCTTTCTGGCCAGCAACTCCTTTGTCTCCTTTAGGGCCAGCTGGCCCAGGCTCACCTTGCTCTCCTTTCTCTCCGGGTGGACCTTTAACTATATTCGACGCAACGTATGCGTCTTCTCCTTTGTATCCTCGTGGTCCTATAGCTCCTTCGTCACCGCGTTCACCCTGGTTCGTAATATTACCTTTCGTTATTTTTTTTTGTTATAAGAATAAACTACAACAATGTAAAAATTATTGCTTACCGGAGCTCCTGGAGCACCAGGCATACCGTTCATTCCATCAGCGCCTCTTTCACCATTGATTCCAGGTGGGCCGGGAAGTCCGCGATCGCCTGTTGCACCTGGAAGGCCACTCATACCTCGATCTCCTTTGTCTCCTCGAGATCCAGGAAAACATTCATTACAACGTCCGCCAGTATCTCCTTTACTGCCAGGATTTCCTGGGACACCATCAAAACCTGGACTACCCTTTTCTCCTTTTTCTCCTGGAGGTCCGATTTCTCCCGGGCTACCAGGTGTGCCTAAGCTGGAATTACCAGGCGATCCCCTTATTCCGATGTATCCCTTTTCACCTTTGGCACCTTTTTCTCCGTGTAAGCCAGGTAAGCCGCTTTGACCCGGTTGACCCTGAAACATGCACTTTATTAGCAGGTTTAACTAGATATGTCTTATCTTTACTTTATATATCTAAGAACTTCTTAAATAAATAAGTAAATTTTACTTTTTGGATTTCGATCTATCTCACATATTAGAACAGGAAAAGGAGGGCTTTCTCAAAAGATGTTTTCGTAGATATTTCGACAGATTTTGGTTCCTTTCGGAACATCGTGTTAGTATAACTAAAATGCAACAACTGAGCGGTCTCAGCTGTTGCATTTTAGTTACAAAGTTAGTTGCAAATTACGTAATAATGGCACGGTTGCCATTATTTTGTAATTTGCTGTTAAAGTTGCAAAAAACGTAGTTTTTCGCAATTATAAATTTTCCTCGACTTTTTTACAAAGAAATATATTATGTGAAAGTTGTAGATACACCGCCCAGCACACGCTGGAGGACTGCCCTGCGTGGGAGTCCGAACGTCGAGTCTTTGTCGGACTGAAATCGGGATCGAAATCGGATCGGCCGATCTTTATGTTGTGAACTATTAATTAAGTAAGTAGTTTTTATTATTTCTTTATTACGCATATATATATGTACTTATGTTTTTGCAAGGAATTTCCTAGATACATTTTACCTAATAAGTTCTATGTAAATATGTATGTTTTTAATAGTAGTCCATGCTTAATAAAATTAAACTTACAGGAATAGAAATACCGTCTTCACCTCTAGGCCCTCTTGGGCCCTGAGGACCCTGAGGTCCTTGAAAACCACGAGGTCCCAGATCTCCTTGTTGCCCTACTCGTCCTGGTTCACCCTTTTCTCCTTTAGCACCAGCAGGCCCTTCAATACCAGTATTACCGGGTTCACCTTGTCCACCCTGAGGACCCATAGGTCCCATGTCACCCTTTTCTCCTGGGATGCCATCTGTTCCTTTAGGTCCAGGTCTACCCTGGTAACCTCTTGGCCCTTGAGGACCTGGTGGTCCACGAGATCCAGTACGTCCACCAGGTGCACCTGGAACACCCTTCATACCACGGGGTCCTTGTGATCCATGCTTTCCAGGCTCACCTTTACTGCCTGGTCTTCCATCTAAACCAGCTATTCCATCATTTCCTCTATCTCCTTTCTTTCCTTGAGGTCCTGAAGCACCATACATTCCATCTCGACCCTATAAATTTAAAAAAAATACTACAACGAACTTTATTTAATTAAGGTTTGCTATAAGAAAACTCAGTTTTGGTTAAAGCTCGCCTTTGTAGATTAAATTTCTTGTGACAGATCTCCTATATATAAAATAAAAACTGACAGACTGATTCACTGACTGATCGATCAACGCACAGCTGAAACCGGTGGGTCTAGTAACATTAAATTTTGCACGGGTAACGTAGGTGTCTAGGGCACACCTACGTTACCTGTGCAAAATTTTTGGAATTGAAGGGATTTTTGAAAATTCATCACCTAAAGGGGTAAAATAAAGGATGATAAAGTTCTATGGAAGTTCGTCAAATACAAAGTAAGAAACACGAAATTTCATACCCCTACTTCTGATTACAAATAAATGGACACGTGTATCGTGATTTTCCAATTCTTTTTTTTGGAAAATTTGTTCGATTCCCGGTCGGATTAAATGTCTGTGTAATCTGCAAATGTTTGTTTCGGAGTTTGGGTATTTTCTATGTATAATATGAATGTATTTACAAAAACAGTATATAAGTATTCTATCTGTCAATCTAGCTTTCATAGTACAAGCTCTGCTTAGTTTGAAACTAAATGGCGTTGTGTGTCAGATGTCCGAAATGTCCGAAATATTTATTACAACGTATTTAAAGTATTTAATTAGATGAGGAATAATGATGTATTGTTTTAAATAGCTTTGTTAATAACCAATTTTTTAAAATTATATTTAAAAGATAAATGAAAATGTTTTTTGTAGATCTTTTTAAGATATACAATTCCGTAGCACATTATTAAGGTTTAGCCAACGCTTACAATGTTAGTGCACAAAAACATGTTTTTTACGACAAGTCTTTAAAATTCTCGGCGTTTCTCTACTATAATATGCATGTACGAGTATTATACATATAAACCTTCCCCTTGAATTATTCTCTATATTAGTAAAAACCGCAAGTGAAAATATAAAAAATAAAATCCGTGGTTTAGTTTAAAAGAGCTAAGCGTACAACACAAAAAAAAGCGGCCAAGTGCGAGTCGGACTCGCCCATGAAAGGTTCCGTAGCAGCAAGTAACATAATATAAACGTTCTTGAACCTGCCCCTCGTGCGCTCCGCACCCACTACCGATCAAGCCACGCCCCGCGCGAATTATAATGATTATACATTATATATATATATTACGCTTAAGCACCTATTACAGATTTATTATTAGAAAATAATGGTTCACGGTTTATGCATAAGGTTTATGTTTATGAAATTAAATGTTTTTTTTTATATTTGAGTTGATTGAATGAAAGGTAAATTGCGGTTTACGATTTATGACGTATTAAAAAAAACTACTTACTAGATCTCTCTTTCAAACCAATTTTCGGTGGAAGTTTGCATGGTAATGTACATCATATATTTTTTTTAGTTATATAAAAGCAGAAACTTATTACCTATATACATATACCTATACCTATATAAAAATACAAATACATATACCTATATAAAAGCAGAAACTTATTCTTTATAAAAAACATTCTTAACTGTTTTCGATCGATATAAATGTTTAATATGCATATACGAGTATTTTATATGCAGGGGTTTTTAAATTTGATTGAATCGAAAAAAAATCTTTCCTTATATGTTGTGGATGATGCTTCTTGTTAGTAACTGATTTGAATTATCTCATAGAACCCAGAACATTGAACCATCAGTTTTCATAGTGTAACTTTAACTCCTTAGGGATGTATTTCCAAATATCCCTTCATAAACTTCTTTTTTTTTTCTTAAACTATATTGGTGAAGCTTAATATATAATTTCATGCTTCTTCCTTAAAAAGTGATGAAGTTTCTATGTAAACTTACAACCCCTGATAACCCCCTCAGCAGTAACATTTTGAACAAAATCCGATCCACGTGTTTATAAAGAAGATGCTTTACAAAGTATAAAATAAGTCGCATTTTAGGGTTCCGTACCTCAAAAGGTAAAAAAGAAACCCTTATAAGATTACTTTCTTGTCCGTCTGTCAGTCTGTCCGTGTGTCACCACCGATTTTCTTAGGAACGGGTAGACCTAGCAAGTTGAAATTTATACCAAATACTGAGGTCTATGGTCCCTATTAGGTGTATAAAAATCAAGTGCCTGAGTAAACACAATATAAAGATATGGGCAAATTTTGATTTTCGCGAAAACTTGTAAGTACCAAAATTTACCTTAATTTTCGACTTTTTTATTTTTCAGAATTTTCTAGTTTCTTGTGCTGTAAGACCTTGCTTTTAACCAAAATTGACAATTCTAGGTCAACCGGAAGTACCCTATAGGTTTTGGGTCGAAAACCTATTTGGTAGTTCCCGTTGACCTAGAATCACGAAATTTGGTAAAAAGAAACGCCTTACAGCACAAATAAAGTAATGATTAAATGTTGTAAATTAAGATAAATTTTGGTACCTACTTACAAATTTTCGCGAAAATCTGGGTAGGTACGAAACCCTCGCGCACGAGTTCGACTCGTACCTGACCGGTTTTTTTAATGATTTAATTACAAATATATAGTTTTCAGATTTTTCCCTATATATTTGTAGTACGAGTATAAGACGGTATTACTTGCCAAATTTCATAGTTCTAGGTCAACGGAAAATACCCTTGATTAAATTTTGATTTCCTTGAGTGTCGAAATATACGTTTTTGCGGCATAAACGGCCGTATCTCTTGTTTACGTAAATATTTAACTTAGAAGTTTGATTTTTTCACAGCTTCAAGTAACTGTAGACCTGAGTATAACGTTTTAATTTCACCTCGATACCTTCACGCGTTCCCGAGGTAAAGGGTCTTGACAGACAGACAGACGGACGGACGGACAACAAAGTGATCCTATAAGGGTGCCGTTTTTTTTTGAGGTACGGAACCCTAAAAATAAAATGAAAGTACTCATGGATTTAGTAATTAAACATAATGCACATAATATGTGAAATTAGGAAAATCATCACTTATAAATTTAAAAAAATGCAAATACAATACAATACATATATAGAATACATGATTATCATAGATAAAATACGATAAAAATAAGTTTAGATAAAAGCAAGAAGCAAAAAAGTCCTTTAGTAGGTAAAACTAAATTCTTTTCTTTTCTACTAATGTTTAAATCTTTGTGTATTTGTCTGTTAATTCGTTCGTTTGTGCACACACTACGTAAAAATCACTCATTATGAACAGTTAAGATATTTTTTTCAACAAATAGGTCCAAAAAATCTCAAGATTTGATTATTTTAGGAACCTAAAGTGCCTTTCATCGCGCTGAGTCATAGTCATATCGTTATATTATAGTTAAACCGCCGTAAGCTTTGCCCTCCTGATGGTTTGCGGGACGCGGGGCGGGTGATGCGCTCGGCTATACATGACACGATGTACTAACTCGATATTTTCAGCTTTATTTGTTCGAGATTTAATCTACACACAATGTAATAAAAATCGAATTTATTGCCATGTATTATAATGTCAGTGTACTTTAAGTTTTTATGATTAATTGTAAAATTTAATAGTGTAAAATAATTTTAATAAAATCACCTTATCGTCATCATGTAAATTATATTCAGATCCAATTTAAAAATTAAGTAAAATTAAAAATATTCTTTATTAGAACTTTAACAGTGTAAGTAACTCTGTAAGCCGAACTTCAAGTTTTTAAATCTTTTTGTGACGCAGAGTCGTCAGATTATCCATATTGCAAAATAATACCGTAGCAGTCTTAAGAAAAATAACACGTACAACCATACTTTCACGTCAGTCACTGCCGGCGGACAGCGAGGCACTAGCTAATTGGTTGAATGCACCCCCGCCCCGCGTCCCCCAAACCATCAGGAGGGCCAAGCTTACGGCGGTTTAACTATAGTATTGCGATGCTACACCATGCCATAGCGATTTTAAGTTTCTATAATTAATTAACATTTATTCAAAGTGACTTCTTTTATTTTCTTATTCTAGCATTGGTAAATACATAAAAATTAAATTTGTAATAAAAATACAGTAAAAGCGAATGGACGTACTCTTTCACCAGGGTTTCCCCTAAGTCCTTTTTCTCCCTTGATACCCATTTGACCTGGGCGACCTGCTTCTCCAGTAAGACCCGTATCACCTTTATCACCCATTGGTCCCGGTTCTCCTTTCTCACCCTTGGCACCCATGTCTCCTTGAATGCCTTTGACAAATGGGGGGCCCTTATCGTCGTCTCCCGGTAACGTTACAGGAGGGCAAGTTTGACCTCTGTCACCTTGATCACCTCGTTCTCCTTTGTCACCTGGTATGGCTAGACCCTTAGAACCTTTAGCACCTTTGTCACCTCTTGGACCAGGAGCACCCTGTAAAAATGATCATATATTAGATATCTGATACGCATCAACGATATAATATTATTAATAAATGTAGCTTAAAATGTTTAAGATTGATAAAAGTGTCAATTAAAAGAAAAAGAGCCGAAAATACATTCTTACCATAGGTCCAAGATTTCCTTTTGGCCCTTGCAATCCAGGAGGACCAGTTGGTCCGGCAGGACCCGGTCTTCCTAGTTGTCCATCAGCACCCGGTTCTCCTTTCTGTCCCTTTGGATATCTACCAGTGTATGCAGATTCTCCTTTGTCTCCTTTGTCACCTCTTGCACCAGGATAACCACGGGGACCCTGTGCACCTGGATATCCCATAGGACCAGGTTCTCCCTATAAAGTACAAAATATTTCTGGCTAGTACCCTATATACTATGTAGTCTTACGAGTATGTAATGTTAACAACGCGATTCAACACCCTTTAATAGTCCACTGCTGGACGTAGGCCTCTCCTTAGATGAAGGTTTTGGGCTACCATACCACGCGGGCCAGGTTTCCCTTCTCTTTGCAGTGCTGTTGTCCTGCGTAGTTTGTTCCCTTAGTCGGCTCTTACGCCAGCCACGAGATAAATAAGATAAATAGATAAAAGATAAATAAAAAAAGAGTGTCACCACCCGGTGACACTCTTTTTTTTTTAATCCGCCACTCGGTCCTAAAAAACCTAATTTTAATGTCTGACTTATTTTTATTTGATTTAATTCTTGTAATAAACGAGGTATTTTAATAACTTGAAGTTATTTGAACTTTAGTAGAACCTATATTTAAAAAAAATATTGCAAATTAAGAAAATCATGACGAATCTTTTTGCCTGTAGATGTAGGTCATTATTTATGCAGAGATTACTACCCTCAGTGTCGTAGGATTCACAGCTATCTTTTAATGGTTTATATTTATTTTAACAAATTTAATTAATAAAAGGCTCGCGCATTCGCCGCTTGATCAATTTAAAAATAACGTAGGGTCTGCCTGCTGGTGGTTACCAGTGGTTGTAAATACTTACAATACCAGTACTCCACATCATTCTAATTATCTGTTGGTAATCACAACTGTGTGGTGGCAGTTGAACGGGGTCTTTGATTAGGTAGACGTAAGTACTTTAGCACTTCAAGTCGAGTTCTTAAGAATAAATCAGTTCTCTTACCCATATTACGACAAACACGTTTTATTTATATCTTCATTGAAAAACGACTGTAACAAAAATAATACTCACATCTGTACCATTGCAACCGTCTCTACCGGCTTGACCTATTCGACCAGGTTCACCTTGAGGTCCAGGAGGTCCAGTTCTTCCAACAAAACCGATTTCACCAGGCTTTCCGCGGTCACCCTTTGGTCCTCTAGGCCCTGGATTACCCATCTGCCCCTTTGCACCTTTAGGACCTTGCGGACCTTCTGGACCTTCATGTCCAGGAAGACCTGGAGCACCTGGAGGTCCAAGCATGCCAGGAAAACCCTGCAAAATATTATTTTAGTATAAATATTTCTTTAAATTATTGTATATAGTGTTTGTGCACCCTTTTTTTTTTCATTTTCAAAAACTAAGTACATAAATTATTATAGTTCAGCAAAAAGAAACTATCATTATTTGTCATTTATTTGTAAACAAAACGTTTAAAATGAATGTAAGTAAAATATTAAAAAAAAAAATCTTACCCTGTTACCCTTTTCAGCAAAACACTTCGGTACACAACATCCTTTTGCAGTACAATTGCGCTCTATACTGCGTTGCCTGGTCACAGGGTCATATATTGTATAACTAAGACTTCTACTTGTTTCATCATCCGATACCGGACCTGGAGGCGGAGGCGGAGATATATCTGGTCGATTCGACAAACCGTAAGTACCGTATGAATATGTATTGCTTGGATTTGAGTTTATCTCTTGTCTCTGGTCAGGCCCTTGAATCTGATTGTTATATCTCCAATCATAGCCTTCGTAGTTCGGATCATACCTCTGTAAACATCAAAACATAATTGCAATAATTAGGTACACACCAGACATTTAAAAGCCTATTTATTTTCACCTATCAGAAAAATGTATATTATTGGTGTTTGGTGTATGCCAGTATAAGATTTTCATAAGCCGAACTGTTAATATTCCATATTATATTGAAAGAGCCTCATTGGGCTATGTAGGTTCTTATTAATTGTTTTTTTTTATGTTATAAGAGGGCAAACAGCACCTTCATATGACCACTGCTGACCATGGACATCCAAGATGCGATGCAGCCTTTTGAATCCTCCCCCCGAAGCAGGAGGAGGAGGCGTTTTGTCTCCAGAAACCTCACTCACTCGGTGAAAATCAACGAAAAAATTGCTTTAAACCGGTTTTCTGTGAAGCTGTGATATCACTTTGGACGAGCCCATTCATTTATGTCAAAGCAGGGCTCTCCTACTACGTGGTAACTACAACAATAATCAATAATAGTGTTTAACGGTTAGAGGCATTGACAGAAACAGTCAAGCAGCCCACATGGATGCAGTTTATTATTTTGACCCATTTTTTTATTCTCCAGAGATAGCATCCAGAATAGCAGGGTAAAAACTTGTCCAAATATTATATTTATTCCCTAAGATAATTCATTCCTGGGATGTCTTTTCGAAACACCTTAAGTCATGACGACTTTTATGAGTCCTGTACACACATTAATAAAATAATTACAGGAAATTGTTTTTTTTGTAATAATTTGAAATTTTCATTAAGTAATTAAGTTTTTAGATCAATGTTTCATGAAAAGCGCTATCGAATGCCTTAGACAAATCACAACACACTTCTGAGGGGAAATTGTTTCTTGTGTATATTTTTTTTACCCTAAAGTGAGTTTGCAGCTGATATAGTACAATTTTCTCAAAATTTTTACTGAAAAAAAATGGGAACACTGAGATAGGTCTATCATGTGTAGGCTCAGATCCGGCTTAAATGATTTGTATTTAACGTAATGATTTATAACACTAAATTATTTTCTACATAGTAAATTATTTTACGAATGTGAACGCGTCATCTCCAGTTTTGTTCTCAACCAATTTCTTTTCACCAGTTGCCATAGGTATTTAAAATTTTGGTTGTTTAACTACTGTCTTCTGTTTTAAAATAGAAACTAACCAAAAGGCAACTTTTCGTATTGCACACTGCAAACCATATTAGGAAGTTACAACTAGAATGGGAAACAGAATGCCTAGTTATAAATTTGTACCTAAGTTCACTCTGAAATTGTTCTTATTTTCAGATAGGTCGTTATAGCTATAATCTCGGTCTACCGGTAAGCTGTAAACCTAGTTGTGGTGCCTTTACCGAACTACCATAAAGCTAAAAGGAAGGTGACGTATTTAGGCACACGCCAAATAAACGAGTTACAAAATAATACATGAATATAACTGTTTAATTAATTTAAACTGTCATGTTTCCGGTTGCATTATTTGAGAATTAAATTTTTAAATTAAATTAAATTAAAAGTTTTAAAAAATGAGTTATAAACGACTATTGGTTGTTTACATATCAGACTATATATATAAGTGTACAGTAAATATGTTTATCCCATCCTATTAATATTTCCTGATTGTAGTAAGTTCGCTTAATAGAACCCGTGTCTAAATTCGTGGTGAACTATAATTATATAAGTGTTATAATTCATACTTTTTAAATTAATGCCCGAACTCCGCGCATATCTTAGCAACTTTGACCTAAGTACGATACACGATCTATCGCTGTGTTAGCTGTTTCGCAGTAAATTGATACATGTCACCAACGGTTACGCCACAAGAAAATTATTGACACGAAATTCTTCTTTATAATTTTGTTTATTCCATGTTTCTCAACAAACAAATAAATGGAAAAATACTAAGCACACAATAAACTATTAAACATATTTGATTTGATTGTAACTAGTTTACAGGTCACGAATCTTGATAATGAAATAGGTACAAGAAGTTTAACAGCGGAATCTAAAGTTATATTTTAATCTGCAACATTAGATACTTTTGCAATAAATAAGTAATAATTTAAAACACAACTGTTTTCTAATTATTTTCAGTATTTTTATTTGCAATCTTTGTTTTTTCCACTTTGAACTTGTTATTTCTGTAAAATATAACATTGACCAGTTGCATTATGTGACCTAAGATTGCTCTTGTTCTATAGAAATTTCTGCATATCTCTTTTAATCCTTTATTAGAAAAGAAGGAATAAAAGAGATATTTTTTGTCTAATCTGTTGTAGGTACATTATGTATTTTACCCTTTTATTTTCTAACATATTAAAAAGTGACAGTTGGTGAATGTGAATGCGTGTATGTATGATACATAATAATAAAAAATTGAAAATGGTTACAGTAAATTCAGCCAATGGTTAGATACGGTACGAAGATTGAATTATTTTGAAAGTTTTGAATGTAATTATTTTAAAAGATTATACAATTTTAAATTATTTAAATATTTCATAGACTCTTGTACCCGATAAAACATTTTCCTTTTTCTATTTTTACACGAATTTTATGCAAAATTACGTACAATAGGTAATGCAACATATGACAATGTATACCATATACCCAACTATAGGAAGTACCTAGTACGTTTGCGCAACTCCGACGCGCTGCATCCGAACGATGATAAACTTTGTCGGTCTTCTATTTCATTATATTATATTCATGTTATAATTTATATTACCTACGTTACGATACGTTAAGAAGTCTAAAATTGTCATACATATGTAGATTAAAATTTGCAATGATAATTGCCAACAATCAGCGGAGATTTAGTTCTGGTGTCACGAATGTTTTATAGCCTTAGCGTTTTGGAGAAATTGCAAAAGGACGAGTGCAAGCGGACGAGCGGGTCAACCCGCCCGCCGCCCGCCGCGACGGTCGCGACTTCGCATACCGCGCTTTTCGCATTCCCAAATGTCGCAAGTTTTTGTTTGATATATTTTGAACACTTACAAGTCAAGTATAAAACAAATAGAACTGCTGGAAAATACTGATAATTAAAAAAATAAATATTTTTAATAGGTACTTACTTGTGTGTTGACTTCAAGCAGCGGTGCTAACGCAGCTAACAACCTATTTTATAAAATAAAGTTGTTTATAAAAATAAACTGATAACAATAAAAAAGGGCACATTAATTTTCTTAATTTATATTTTAAAGACTTCTTTAAATGATTACAAGGGGAATTATAAAATTAACTGAGCTAGATTTATTATGCAAACGTTTTAGTTTAAATCCGAAAGACAGATACTTTTAACATAGGTAGAAAATAAGTCTTACCATAGCACGTACACCGCCATAGCCCGGTGCGCGCTGCGCCAGAATCCCGTGCGCGCGCGCCGTTTATGCCGGGATACTGAAGGATAGAGGAGTGCTCGGGTGGCAGTGTGATCACCCCCGCCCCGCAAAAACGCGGGCGCGGCGCCTGCGGCTCCGGCCTGGACGTGAGGGCGCGCATCCAGTAGTGGCGGCGCAGCCATGTCGGGCCTGGCGCGTGCGCGGTTCTTTGCGCTACACCTCGTGCCCGCACTTCTACTCCTGTTATGGACTCCTAATCCATCTTCAGCAGTAAGTACTAAATCTTAAATACTTGATAATATTACAGGTGTAATAAGTTTAACGTATCAATCGCCCTTAGGGCATCAAAAAGACATCGACGCGTTGTCAAAATATGATTAGTTTGTGTATAGGTCTATCATCAGGTTGTTTGCCCTTCAGTATGTCTGAAAGTTTGCTTCAAATACTAATTATAATTAAAACTGTTGTTATCTAATTTATTTTGGTTGTGTTTATTCTGTAATAGAATATCTATTTAGATAAATTTATTGATAGTATAGATGATTTTGTAATTTATATAAGTACTCTGGGTATGTAATATCCCATATATGCTATATTTTCATAAAATCACATTTTTTTTTTCTTTGCATCACCAATGTAAAAAAATGTAACTTTACAAACGTTGACTCCAAATTAAATTGGAAGTACTTTCATATATGCAAATAGTACTTTATCGTTGATTGTGAATCATTCGTATTTATTTGCTTAAACATCATGGTATATTATTATTTAAAATAAATACAAAATTTACACTTACGATATTTTATAAATTGATGTTACTTACGTATAACATTACGGTACATATTACATGCAGATATGTATGTATGATCCTGTACGGATTCTAAAATATGCAATACATACATACTTATAATTTTATTATGTGTAGACTAATGTTAATAGTCATATTTATGCCTACAAATTTGCACTGAGCGGAATCAAACCCGCGATGTGTCAGTAAAATATACTAAGACTGCGACAAAGGGATCATCATCATCATCAACAGCCTATACTAGTCCACTGCTGGACATAGGCCTCTCCTTAGAAAGGAGGTTTTGGCCCACTATACCACGCTGGCCAGACGGGTTGGTATAGGGTTTGTTTCAAGTTTTCCTTCTCTTTGCAGTGCTGTTGTCCTGCTTAGTTTGTTCCCTTAGTCGGCTCTTACGACACCCACGGGATGAATTGGGGTGGTGACAAAGGGATCCTAAAATATGTATTATAAATGCATGCCATAATTATGATAAGACTTCGTTAAACAGGTGAAATCAGACGCAGTGTTGTTCTGTACTTATTATTGACTATCAATCAGGTAGCTAATACTGAATGTTTGCTATGGAGATAAGTGCATTAGTAATTTTAGTAGTACCTTTAGGCACTACCGTGATCCCGTAGTGAAATGTGTAGCGTGTTTTTTTTTTATAATTACAACTGAGTTGGTAAACAAGCACACGTTGGAGATAAATGGTTACCAGAGGCAATGGATCACTGCCCTATAAAAATATGTTTGAAACCTACAACTACTAGTTAACAAGACTGATTCGAAAGTCCGTTTCTAAACAGTAAAGCAGGGTTTGGGAGTACAGCTGTGTTAATAGTGGTCCCTATATAATAATAGTGGTAATATACTCCATAGTGGTCCCAGCATTCTAATGGTGAAAAGCTGTTGCTATTGAGGCACACACGTCTTCTCCGGAATTAAGCAGCCCCCGCACGCCGTTGGTCCCTGGCGTTGTTGGGTTGGGTAATAATTTTTCAGGCAAAATTGAATGTATATTTATATAAGATAAAGTTTGCGTCAGTAGTGTAAGGGTTATACCTAAACCTTACGTTATCATTTAATAGGTCAATATTTTCAAATTTAGACACTGATAATAACCGAATGGCCATAGAATGGTAATATTCCGAGTATATTTATATTTGTATGTTAATATTCCTAGTAATAAACCTACAGAATGCTAACAAACAAGCTTAATGTCATAAATATTGATGATTAAGATAAAAATAATTAATAAGCTTTAGAACACGGATAATTATTTGTAGATACTTTTCCTGCAAATACATATAAAAATGATTTACATGTAAAACACCCTGAGTGATACAAATAATAAAAACCTTACATACGGCTGTCTGATTCCTAACTAGGCAGAGCCTAACTTTTTTTAGACAAAAATAAATATTTGAATAATATAGATAGGTTTTCATTGTGGCACTATTTTATTTACGATCATACGATCATCAATTGATAACGGTGGTTAAATAATATTAGTTACGGCTGCCGTTCATGTTACCACCATTAAGTACTTGTTTATAATAATAACTTCACATATCTCATACACGGCAGTCTGAACCCAATAACTACACGGATGGCGTAGTGGTTTAAGCGGTCGCCACGCCGCTTCCTACTGAGTGTTGTGAGTTCGATCCCCACATGGGACGACACTTAGTGTAATCCACAAATTGTAGTCCGGACACTGGTTGTTTTTTGTGCCCGTTTCATCTTGTTCGTCCGTTCGTTCCTCCGTTCCCGCGACACAGGATATATTTCTAATGCGGGAGTTGTCTTATAAAAAAGAAAAGGTAGAGTCTGTGGCATGGGATCCAGACTTAGATCTCATACTGTAGTATACAGACGACTACAGACTAGGTGAATAAACTTAGATAAATACTAGGTGGCACAAAAGTCATCACTCTATCGGAAGATGCTATAATTTTTGCAAATGGCCGTAAATCTCAGTTCTACTTTGACTATTGTGAAGTAAAAAGATATTATACAAATGTATGTAAAGAATGAGACATGAATCGCTGTACTCGCCAAACGACTACTGTGAACGGCGAGCGCTACAGAGCCATGCTCAACTACTTTCTTTTACCTCACCTAGAGGAATTGGAACTGGAGAACATATGGTTCCAAGAGGATGGAGCAACGGTACGTACTGCACGACCCACGACCGAAATTCTGAGGGAATCTCTCGTTTTGATGATTTGCACTGGCCGATTAAACCGTTCTAGACTTCTTTTTGTTGGGTGTTTTGAAGTTACGAGTCTATGTCAAAAAGCCTCTTGAAGTTCTCAACTGACTGCACGAATGGCGTAGTGGTTGAACCGGTCGCCACGCCGTTTACTACTACGCCAAGTGTTGTGGGTCCGACCCCCACATGGCACTACGCTTAAACTTTAAAGAAACACAATCCAAAAGCAAAAAAAAAAATATTAAAAAAAGAAGATCAAATATCGGGTGACAACTTTTGCGCCACTCATATTTTAAATACACATATATTATACATAACTTATACTCAGGCACAGAGCAAATGATCGTGCTCATCACACAATTACTTTTGCTGGGTGGAAATCGAACCTATGATCTCCGGCTTAGCAGTCAGCGTCACTAAACACTAGGCCAAGAAACCTGTCAAATATATATACTTGTGGTATATACTTGTGGTAGTATAGTATATATACTTGTGGTAAGTCCGTGTGGTGACGGATTAAGAATACAAATTGTCATCACCCCAATTCATCCCGTGGGTGTCGTAAGAGCCGACTAAGGGAGCAAACTAAGAAGGACAACAGCACTGCAAAGAGAAGGAAAACTTGAAACAAACCCTATACCAACCCGTCTGGCCAGCGTGGTATAGTAGGCCAAAACCTCCTTTCTAAGGAGAGGCCTATGTCCAGCAGTGGACTAGTATAGGCTGTTGATGATGATGATGATGATATATACTTAATCTGGCCATAAATACTATTAAAATAAAAAAACCATTATATTACATTTGAATGATAAAATTTGTCTTTTTATGAATATTTACTACGCACTAGTGGTTTAAGCGCTTTCTACTGCGCTGAGTGTTGTGGGTTCGATCTCCGCACTCACACTAAACTTCACTGTGTCATAACACTCTCTGTAATCCACAAATCCATTCGCACGAAAAAGACGATCAAATCAGTGAAGGAAGGAATTCCAAGAAATTCTATGCGAAAGCAAAAGATCTTATGTCGGGAAATGAGTATAGCATCTAGAACCATGTCGCGTATTTAAAAAGATGACTCAGGACTTGCAGCCTATAAGAGACGCACTGGTCATTATTTAACTGAAAATTTGAAAATGAATAGGATAGTAAAATCAAAACAACTTCTTAAGCGGTACGCAAAGGGAGGTCACAGATTTTTTTTTTACTGAGGAGAAAGTAATTGAGCAATATTTTAACAAGCTGAATGACCGAGTTTTTGCTCAAAGCTTTATAAAGGCTTCCCGATTAGTCAGCAGAGTACAACGTGGATATTATCCGATTTCAGGGATAGTTTGGTGGGGTGTTAGCTATCAAGGAGTGCCTGAGATACATATATTTGGTTCGAGAAACGTTGGTTCGAAACGTCTGTGTCTATTATTTGCATCCCTCAAAGGAGGTCGGCATTAAAAAGAGAAACTTCTAGTTAAATCCTGAAGGTCTTAAATACAAAGTATATTATTGTTTTACTTATATTACCCACAATAAAAAATCAAGTACTATGATGTTCGCTTTACAATTTCTATAGTTTCTTAACTCTAACGTAACACGAACTCTAACTTAGCACTTAATAATATTAATAAATTTTATTTCATAAAGCAATGTGATAGATAATAATAACACAGGAATCAAATATAATAGTGCGTACAATGAGTGACTTATTGTTTATTAACTTCACTTTGTACACATTAATAAAATACCTTTTGCCTAGCTATGTACTTTGGACTCTGACCAAGGTAAAGTGAGGCGGATTTTATGTAGTCATTATTTACTAGCTAGCACTTACACTCCCTAATTAATCGGTATAAATTTCATTCAAAATATACCACACGATTTATTGCTGAAGTTTTTACTGGTGAATTGCATTCACATTTATGAAAATCCCTGCAAGAAACCCATAAGATCCTTCCAACAATGTCGTGTTTTCTCGAAATGCTGATTCCACATTTTTAGGAAATTTTATAAAATATAGTTTATTGTGTGGAACATGATCTCTTTGAAATATTCAACGTACGCAGCTAATATATGTGAATGGTAAATAGTGACTTACTAGACCAAATATCTACTATGTCCCTGAGATGGGTGTCTACAGTAATCCTCATTCGCCTTCGGTTCTGAACTTCGCAACCTTAACCAACTTGACCTTACTCCTCGTCTTGCCTATTCTCTTCACTTCATCTGCAACAGTGCCACGCTAAACGTTTTCCTTGCGGGTTCCTTGTCCAG